GGGGTGGGGGGAGATTGAAGGAGGAGGGGGGAGGGAGAGTGGGAGGGCAGGAGGAGGAGGAGGGGAGGACAGGAGGGAAGCGGGAAGACAGAAAGGGAGGACAGGAAGGAAGCGGGAAGACAGAAGGGGAGGACAAAATGGGAGGACAGGAAGGGAGGATAGGAGGGGAGTATAGGAGGGGGTGAAAGTATGAGGGTGCCTCTGGAAACGACACTTTTTTTCTACTTGTTCATTTGTTTAATAATTGTAAAAAAACCCGTCGACGTCTACGTTATACAATCGTAGTATTTTCAGCCGATCGTCAAAGTTTGTATGGCTCTTTTCGTCTATGCAGACGGTCAATTTAGCTTGAGATAGTTTCAAGGTTGTCTTCATGTAACTTCTTTCATGGCTCATTCTTCCTATGTTTGAAGCGCAGATTCTTTCGCAGTGCTTGCATGTCAGTGTCGTAGATCGAAGCTCTGTTTTTCCGCTGTTTTCCTATCGTCGTTGGCGCTTCTCAGCCTGGTTGTTTCTAAGGCGGTTCTCTAGCATTTTAGTTCTTTCCTTCATAATTTTCCTCCATGTTTTCTGGTCCTCAGCTATTTCTTCCCAGATGTTAAAATCTACTCTAAGCTTAGATAAGCTGTTTTTGCAGGTGTCTTTGTACCTCAATTTTGATCTTCCTTTTTGTCTCCTTCCCTGGGCAAGTTGTCCATAGAGAAGTTGCTTCGAAATCCGGTTGTCATCCATTCTCTTGACATGGCCAAGCCATATCAATCTTTTTAAACACAGGATAGTTGTCATGCTCTGGAGGTTTGCCTGTGTCAACATTTCAACATTTGTAACCTTGTCACGCCACGAAATGCCTAAGATCTTGCGGCAGCATCTGAGATGGAAAATGTCGAGGCGCTTTTCTTGTCTGCTGTACAAGGTCCATGTTTCAGATCCATAAAGGAGTGTGCTGAGGACACATGCCCCGTAAATCTTGATCTTTGTTTTGATGGTTAATCTTTTGTTTTCCCACGCTCGTTTTGTCAGCCTTACAAAAGTTGTTGCTGCTTTCCCTATGCTGATGTTGATCTCATAATCAAGTGATGTTGTAGAGCTGATGGTAGACTCCAGTTAACAGAACTTGTCCACTGTCTTAAGTTCTTTGTCGTTCAGCCATATATGGCTCTGCTCTGCACCTTCTTGAGTAAGGATGACTGTTTTCTTAACACTGATGACCAAGCTAAAGACCTTGCATGCTGTTGATAGGCGGTCCATCATTGTTTGTAGGGTTGATTTACTGTGAGCAACAAGAGCAGCATCATCGGCGAAGAGAAGGTCTCGTACTGTTGTTTTGTTAATCTTGGTCTTGGCCTTGAGTCGAGCAAGATTGGAGAGCGACCCATCAGTTCTCCAGTGGAGGACGACATCCCCTGGTGACTCTTTGAATGCATGTTGCAGTAAGACAGCAAAATAAGCGCTAAAAAGTGTTGGTGCTAAGACACAACCTTGCTTTACTTCGCTTTTGATGTTG